AATAAATTATTTTTAATAAAATAATAGCTTCGACTGGAAGGATTGCATTCTTCATCCGTCAACGCATTAGAGACGGCAGACGGTCATAATTTTTACAAAGGCATCTGTTTTAAATTCTAATGACATATATGTGTAAACATTTCACTTTAATTTTCACCCCATTATAAATAACGATATTTAACTATATTATAATTATAATAATTAAAACGTATATATTAGTTATCTATTATACCTAGTAATATTCTAATATCTTTGTCGTACACACCTCATCCGTTATCACAAAATAATTATCTAAAAGATATTCGGAAAGGAGGAGGGAGGGGGCAGCAGCATAACATTGTATGCTGACTTCTAATAGGTTCTCAGTATTTGTTAATCTATTGTGTGCGTAAGATGGATTATTTCAATGATATATCGGATAAATTGAATTTTCTTGTTGAAAACGATCCGACGGATAGAGTTTTCAAACTAGTTAGTAAACTATTGAAAAATTATAGAGATTTACAATATTTTGCGGAACGTCTAGGCGATAAAGTCAACGGTGTAGGTGGAGACTTTTTACATTACAAAGGTTGTGAATTATCGGATGTGGGAAAAAATTCGGACAATCATGAATGTGCATGCTCAGTTGTGAAGCGAATATATTACGAACTTTTGGATTTAATCGAAACAATTGAAAAGACGACGAATGCGAACCGCAGCGACAGTAAAGCCTATTGGACCTTGAGACTTTAATCACAATGGCTACACCAAGGTGTAAATTCAATAAAATCAACGACTTGATCGATTCATCAATGTATAGATTGTTTTAAAACATTGAAAACACATGAAAGTGTGTTTAAAAATATTTGATTCTTTTTATCTTAAAACTTAAACTTAAAAAAAAAATTTCAGCGTGTTTATTACTTCTTCAATCTGGTGGAATTGGCTACAAACAGATCATTTCTATCAATAGATACTTTGCCAAAAATTGACAAAAATTTATGCGTGACTTTTCCAGTCAAATTCGAAGATGATTAAAATAAAATAACAAGTTTACAAAACAACTAGTTTTTTTATTAAAAAAAAAAAATTATATATATTTATACATTTTTTTTTTGTTTCTATACTATATTGTAAATTGTATAATATAAAAAATAAAATATGTATTTACATTAAAGTTTTCGTACTTCTCCCGTGAATGCGTTGTATTCCATTTGACAGTCGTGAATAATTACACAATACAATGATGTTTTATCGGGAAACTGTTTGGAGCATTCGAAATCCAAGCGTAGATCAACCGTTGAAGACTTGACGGTGTCGTTTTGTTTAGAACAATCAATCACGACTATAGGTCCACGTTTTTTGTAATTTATATAGTCCAATAAAGGATAGGGGTCTTTACGACCGTAATACATTGTCTGGAATTGTGCGTACGAGTTATAAAACGTTGTGTACTTGTTGTTGTCGAAATCGGCGTTTTGGTTCTCGTACGGGTATTCGTCAGCGTTCAGATACGCTTTGACGTTTCTCAATGAACAGTGATTGAAATCTCCGAGAACGTGTTCGTCCTCATTACCCATGGCAATAAGTAAATATCTAGGTTTTTCCACATTCGAATAGGTGCGCACCGACCACGTGTGATGAGTTGTCTGCGGTACCAACGGGTAAACGGCAACGTCCCAGTGTTGAAATTCTAACGGGAGCCATTTCTTGCTGTCCAGAATACGCATCAGACCCAGTTCAGTTTTCACGCTGGGTTCAAAGTACTTTACTACCCATTTGATTTTCGATATTTTCACGTTGATTTGTTTTATCAATGTTGCAACTTGCGCTTTATCGTCTGTTGTTGTTGTTGTTGTCTGTGGAACCAATGATACGACAGTGCTGTCGGTACTCGATCTATTCAACACGAGAGTCTGAGTACAGTTTATCAGTGTGCGCCGATACCGTTCGAAAAATCCCATGCACATAGATAATGGACATTGCGCTACAAATTCAGTCCCATCGACGAAATCGTTGTTGTTGTGCAAAATTTGCGCGTATTTCCATCCGGCAGGTTGTAATCGTCGAATGTCGTTGGGTGTGAATGAACAATATCCCTTGATGGTTGTAGCCATACCAACGTATTTTATCTTGTCTACTTCTTTACCATTTACCTCAAATCTGATTTCATCGAATAGGTGCATGAGAAAATTTTGCCCCATAACCATTTCACCGGCTGTTCCAGCTGGTGGTTTTTCAAGTTTTCCTTCGATTTGCAAATAACTTTCGCACGGCACGGTGAATTTCTCCTTGTTGCGCACCTCGATACGGATTTCATCGTTGTGTTCGTACGAGTTGTTGTAACTCTGATGTTCCAGATAGTACTCGCGTTTTACACTGTCGTCTTGTTGACATTTTTCCAACACGTGCAAGTACTCGGCCATGATTGACTCGACAACCCAACGATTTTAAAAATTCAATATTTTTCTTTGTTAGTTGCTGCTGCGATAGCGTCGCACGATTATCCGGTTGCTCCGTCGTAGAGTATATGCCATCACTCAAATGATGGTGCACTACACTCCTGTTGAAACTCAGAGGCATTTAAAGAGTGTCAACATGTTTTTCCAGTATAAAGACACGGTCGTCGACTGAATAAAGTTCTCGAGCCAGTGCTTCCAAACGATAAATTGTGGCTGAATTGTTGTTGTTGTTGCTGTTGTCACTGTTTATCAGCTGACAGCTGTTGACGGATGTAGTAATAGTTGCACGACTGTGACTAGTATGCACAAAAATAATCCAATTTGTGAGGAATCAAACTGTTTTATACGGTCCCATAACGTCATCGTACTTTCATCCATCCTGTTTGATGTGTAGACGCACTGTTAATTTTTCACCTCTTAGGTTGACACGTTGACCGTCCTGATCGAGCAATGCGATTCGAATCGTGTTCAATACGTTTGTGTTTAACGGATAGTAAACTACTTGTCTGGGACACTCGATAATCCGGTAGCCCGGTGGTACGTTTGGAAAGAATTCGTGCAATGTATGCGATTGACGTCCTCCGTGGTACGAACCAACAATTATATTGCAGTCGACTCGTATGCATGTAACCTTTGTTATAGATAACGGGAAATCCGACGTGTGTTCCATTTTCGGTGCCAATACACGAGGTCGGAACCCTAGTATACGACCGATTGATTGCGGGTGTGTAAAATCTATGGGGTGATCGCATTTGATTATGCTCCGCATAGTGTTGCGGTCGGCTGTAAAAGAGATAACGTTTCGATCACCCAACCTTTTGTTACCGATTTCTCTGCTGTTTTCCTTGAGTAAACCAACCGTTGGCAACAATGGATCATCAAAATCTATTTGTTGTTGTTGCACACTGTACTTATACTCTTCTCCGTTGTACTTGTCCGTGATTCGTTTCTGTAAATCTTCAAATTCGTACGATCCCGTCGGTAGTGTTATCACCATAATTGGTTTGTCAACAGTGCCGAAAATGAATTTGTTACAATCCTCGTCAATATTAGGTATAGTGTTCCACGTATGCAAGCTCAATAACCCAATTTTACATTTGTCACCGACATCGATGGGTGGATTGAATGTACATTGCAATTCAGATCCCACACCGGTTAACGTTACCGTTGTTGTCATGTTGTTGTTGTTGTTCGATTAAAAATTCCAAACACAAGTGACCACAATTTACCTCGTCGAAGTTTTGACATCTACTATAGTTGTGCACGATTGTACATCCTTTAAAGTATCGTTGCAGTTCCAACGGTGGTGGTAAATTACCAAAACTGTCAAAATACGTAACACGTTTACCGCGTTTACTATAAGCTACCCAATGCGTGCCAGGGTTAGTGGAAAGATCCAAGTTCACTACAGCCATTTCGGTCATTTTCGGTCCCGACTTAGGTAATGTGTCACGACAAAACACGCCACGAAACACTTTATGGTCGAACGCTCGACTACCGAAATTTGCAATTTCAACATCGTACAAGACACGATCGGGTAGCTGCGAATNACATCGTACAAGGCACGATCGGGTAGCTGCGAAATTAGTTTTTTGTTTTTTTCGTCTGATTTTTTCGAATCATCTTTTTCGTACTCGTCGTCAATTTGAAACCAGACCCCGATTTGTATGGTTGCAAGTAAAATCCTTTACCCATGCTTATCGCTGTATTGCCTTTACGGCTAAGTTCGGTAGCCATCTTGACCACATTTGCAGCACCGCCGGCTAAAGCTCCCAACGCCGACAGTCCGGCAAATATAGGTATAAGCGGTAGTACACCGCCTTTAGTTTTTGGAACGTTTATGGTACGGGGCAGTGGAATTTTTTTCTTTCTCACCACACGTCGTGCCGCCTTCAACGATTGTTTTGCCACACTCAGTAAATCCATTTGTTGGGCATTTTTATCGAGTTTGGCCGCATGCACAACTCGTTTGAAACCCATACCGAGTTTACGTTTCAATTTCATCGCGTTGGTCACACTCCAAGCTGCGACTCGTTCAGGCAATTTAGCGTCTTTGGCCAACACTCGTTCCCAAGCCTGATGTTCCAACACCTTGTCCGCTTTATGACGGTCTTCGAGATTCTTGTATTTACTATAAATGATATCGTGATTGCGGCAAGCAGCATCAAGCGGGTTCACTCCAACGTCACCTCGTTTTAATCTCTTTTCTAACCGTGTTCCAGGACCGCAAATTGATAACCTAAATGATAAACATTTAAAATAATGATAAAACTATTTGCGAGGAATTATTTTGAATAATTACACACACCTGGAATGTGGGCTTCGAATGGTAATTTGTTGATTACAGTATTCAATATCCCTGCACCTCGTTTTCCACGTTGTCTCTGTTTAACCATTATTTTCATATTGACAGTTATTGTTCGATGACGTGCGATGCGTTTCAAAAAACAGACTCTCACGCTACCTATCGTGAATTTTGAAAAAAGTAGTGAGATTGCACCTAGTAAACACGGTAAACTATTGCCAAATACAATACGTGCATTGATTTTCGGACCGTCAAATTGTAGAAAAACAAACTTGATGTTTACTCTATTGACCGATATCAACGGACTTCGATTTGAAAATTTTTACGTTTACTCGAAATCGTTGCATCAGTGCAAGTATCAACTACTCGTGGATGTTTTACGCGGCGTCCAAGGAGTGTAGTTGTTTACCTATGAAAACGGCGACGATGTACCGTCGGTGGACAACATCCTGCCCAATTCGGTTTTTATATTCGACGATGTTGTCATGGAAAAACAAAATGTAATGTGTGATTATTTCGCGCGAGGACGACACAGGCAAGTTGATGTTTTTTTTCTCTCCCAAACACTGTCGCGCATACAAAAACAAATGTTACGTGACAACACAAATGTGGTGGTGTTGTTCCGGCAGGATGAAGTTAATCTACGACACGCGTACGATGAATACGTGTGTTGCGATATGAAATTTGGAGAATTCAAAGAGTTTTGCAAAGAGTGTTGGAACAAGGATCGGTACGGATTCGCAGTGATTTGTTTGGACTTTGCGCGAGACGACGGACGATACAGATACAAGTTTGACACATTTGTTACAATATGAGTGCCGATAAGGAAACATTGCTGAAACTGTTGACTGAAACCCGGGAAAATGTT